ATTACATGGGTGCCCAACATTCAGATTTTGAAGAACTGCCTTCATAGAGAAGGTACGTGTCTAGGTTACCTGCCTGGGACACTTTGCACCTGATGGTACTGAGACTGACTAGTGGGCCGAGGACTTCATCCACATGTTCCTGCAGCCTGAGTTGATGGTTGGTGAGAGGACACTAAGTGGTTGCGGGATCCCAATGTGCTGGGAGGCTGGAGAGAACACCCCTCTGCCTTCTTAGACAAGAGGCATTGATAAAGCATACTTCCCTGGATCCCAGGTCAGTAGAGGGACAAACTATTCCTTTTTTTTTTTTTGGTTTTTTTCCGGTACCAGGAACCGAACTCACGACCTTGCGCTTGGCAGGCAGGTGCTTTGCCGCTGAGCTAAATCCCCAGCCCCTATTCTTAAAGATAGGTTTATTACTCAGTCAGCCCCAAATAGCAGAAAAAAGGTACAAAACATGGCTTTTGCCCCAGATAGCTCACTTGAGATGCTAGTAAGAATGCCTCTTCAGTATTTTATAGCCGTGAGGAGAAGGAGGCCAAGGAGAGAAAACACAGACGGAGAAAAAACAGCTGCCTTTGTTGCAGCACTAAGAGAAACAGATCCTAAGTCTGATTCTCGGGGGCCCCAAGAACAACTCGTCAACTACATTCATCAGCTACTGCTGTCAAAAGCCAGGCCACCTCAAGAGGGACTGCTCTAAGAAGCCCCTTGGGCCATGTCCTGACTGTAAAGGTGATCACTAGAGGTCTGACTGCCCTCTGAAGCAAAGGCTCCAGAGCTCAGAACCCTCCTCCCAGCTGGTCCAACAGGAATGAAGGGGCCCAGGGCATACTCTGCCTTCTCCCTCTGGCTAGACCCTTATCTTCAAGGAGGAGCCTCCATAATCATGACTATAGAGGAAAGAGTAAATGGCCTATTGCTGGACACTGGTGCTAGTCTCTCGGTCCTTGTTTTCAATCCTGGCCTTCCTTCCAACCGTCACACCTCAGTGAAAGGAGTCACTGATGAGGAGGTAATCCGCTACTTTTCACAACCCTTAGACTGTAACTACTTGTTAGATCTTTCTTGCATATCTTTGTTTTCCTAAGAAACCACTTTGAAGATACCAACATGTATTACAGCAGCCATTGATACTTTCCTACCAATCTGTCCATAACTCTGTAATATTTCTATTGTTCCTATGCTAGTTTGTAAATGGTTGTATGCATATTACTATGTGTTTTCAACAACAACCATTGAGAATAGTCAATGATTATTTAATTGATCAAATGTATAGTTCTGTTCGTTTTCCCTAGAACCACTTTGAAGAAACCAAAATGTAGTACAACAACCATTGATAATTTGCTACCATTTTTGTCTGTAACTTACTATTATTTGTCTATTTGTTTTCCTGAGAAACTATCTTGAAGATACCAATAGGTAAAATAACAACCGTTAAGATCGTCCTACCACTTTGTAATTTGGTAAATCCCCCTATGACTATGTCATCCTTCTTTTACTCTTTTAAATAAAAAAGATTAAAAATAAAATAAATAAAAAATAAAATAAAAAAATGAAAAAGAGTAATAGCAGAAGACAAAAAGCCACAGCTAGATATGGATACTACTGAGTGAGAATTAGAGTTGAGAACACTTCTGCTTCTGTCTAGGATGTAACCATAGTGGGTGGCAGCAGAGCATTTCTGTAACTACAGTGACTCTGAAGAGCAAGTGAACTTAAAAACACTGAAAATAGCAAGTGTCATGAAAATGTAGAGCCACTGGAACCCTCCTTCAGAGTTGGTGGGAGTGTAAGTTACTAACACCATGTTGGAAAACTGTCATACAATATGTATGAAGGGTCAGATATGCCATTCCTAGGTAAATATCCAAGAGAAATGAATGTGGACACACTTGTGCACACTGCAAGAGTATTCATTGTAATGTTATTAATGATTGCTTCCACCTGGGAAAAAAGAAAACTCAAACTGGAATATAATGTAAAGCTATTAAAGCATGACTTAGCTATGTTTGCAAAAAATACAAATGAATTTCAGAGGCATTGTACTGAGTTTAGAAAGCCAAGACATCAGGCCAGGCATGGTGGCACACCCCTATAATCCCAGCACTCAGGAGACTGAGGCAGGAGGATTATTGTGAATCTGAGACCAGCTTGGGCTACAAAGTGAGGGCAAGGCTAGCCTGAACTGCATAGTGAGACCCTGTCTCAAAAAAGATACCAGCTACACACACAAAAAAAAGAAAGCCAAGACATGAAATAGTGTACTTGTATGATTCCATTTATATGACGGTAAAGAACAGGAAGAACTAGCTAATAATTTTAAAAGTCAGAATAGCAGTTATCTTTTGTAAGGGTGTGGAGGTTTGGGAAAGGAGTTTTATGAAATTGTAGACCACTCTATGTGTTGGTCAGAGAGATCTGAATTAATATCCTGGAAGATCAAGTGGAAGAAATTCTAATAACACACCAAAAAATAGTAGTTTTGCTTTTTAATCTAATATGATAGTTTTATTTACCATTTTGCTATTGATTTTGATTATCAATATTTGGTTTTATTCCTACCACATTAAGTTGTGGTTTTTTCTTTGCTACATTTCATGTTGTATTTCTTTTGTATTTTCTACATTGAGCAATTTTCTTTTGTTTATCTTTCTTTTTGGTATTTGGAACTTCTGCTACTTTTCTGTAATCTACTTAAATATGCATATTTTAACCTGGATTTTTCTATTAATGGTAAAATGAAAAATAACTAGGGAACACTCTTTTTTTAGTAAGTTTCCTCTACTCATTTTGTTGAAAACAAGTATAGAATTTTATTTCCAAATAATTGTTAGCTTTTTTTTAATAGTGTGCTATTATTTCAGGAAACTCTTAACAATTGCAGTATGATTTATAATATTATCAAAATTCAATATGTGTAATGATACATTTTAGGTGTATTTGTTGGTCAACTACTGTTGATTTTAGATTTTGTTCTTCTCGAATTTTGACTGAAATATTTGAGTAATTTGTTTAAAGATACACTTTGTGTTTGTACCTGTATGTCTTGTTACCTATAAATAATAACTTTGCCAAATATAAACATGTAGAGTCACAGTCCTTTTCCCTGGGAATTTTGCTGATTATCTTCATTAAAGAGTTGGGATAAGAGAAGGTATCATCTTTTATTTTCCCTCTTATTTTTGCTTTCATTTTTTTTTTCTATTTAGTCAAGCTAGTATTTTATCCACCATAAATAGAACATTCATTCTCATTTTAAACCTTCCTTGTGTTTTTTTCTCCACTTGAATACCTTTCTTCTTGTCTTTGCCTATCCCACTTTATCAATTCTTCAAATCATATCTAAAATTCTACCGTCTTTAGAGAACTTTATCCCTTTGCCCCAATTCAAATTAATTCCCCCTACCTCATCACCACATTTTTTTGTCTCTACCATATTTTTGCATGTTACGGAGTCTTAGTTTATATCTGGAAGAGATCATAATTTCTGACTCCATGTTTTAGATGAAAAAGCTGAGGTCAGTGAGCCGCATGTGTCGCCAGATGACAGAGGTCCTCTGGCGTTCAGGGACTACCCTTTAATGCCTACAGTAGCCCTGACCCCAAATACTTTCAGAAGTCCTTCCTTCAAATTCTGTGGGTTTCTGGGGCCTTCTGCCCTCCCACTATGTGTTGAAGCAAATGTGCCAGCCACTGCTCTTGGCTTTGCCAGAGGCCACCTTTTCTCATGATTCATGGCACTGGAAACCCCCAAGCGCCACCAACTTACAACATATGATAAATGTTTCATGAAGAGGTGTCTCTCCCAAAAGAGTCTAAGAAGCTAAAGAGCAGACATGACCTGTCTAACTCTTACAAGTTCCAGGACAGAGTTAGACAGACAGACAGTAGCTTTTTAACAATGTTGGATAACACTGTCCTAAAATCCAAGAACTATTTCTCCTCCAAGAGGAGATGTGTTATTCTGGATGTGTCTTTTCAAGTTATTGCTAATTGCCACCTCCTCTTTCTTCTTCTTCCAACCTCACACAATTGTTTCCTTAATCAGAGAGAGATATCTCTCCATCTTTTCCCTAAAACTATATATCATTTTTTTAATATCCCAAAACATAGAAAAAGCCAACATAAAGAGTCAGCTAAGGCTTTAAAATCAAATTTTCCTCTTCATCATAAGCAGAACTCCTTCTTCTACAGGTTTCTGAAAATGAAAGAAAATAGTTTCATAGTTTTGTCTCCCCGTTGACCACAGAAAGCCCCTAGGGCATAGGGAATATGAATTTTTATTGTTTTTTCAGGTACATATGAATTCCCTGGGTCTTATAGCAGGACACAGGTCTTTTCAGAGTCTTATGCTTTTTCTTTATATCACCATTTCCCTAGTTCCAGATTTTGCCCAATTTTATATTTTATTACATTCTCTTTTCTATTGCATTTGTTGTTGTTTCACATTTCTTATTCCTCCTCTCCCCCAAGAGACACTCATGGTTGGAATGTGAGTACTGAATATTGAAATTGTCAGGGCATGAAATTTATACAAGCAATCACTGATTCTTGTGTACTGACTAAGGAAAACAATATGTTATTTAGTGAGCATCTACGCTGTGGGTAGAGTTTTATATTTATGCTCTCTAATTCTCTCCTTGATTCTGTGAGATAGATCTGATTATCTCAATAGTAGAGAAAAAGAAATGGACATTCTAGAAGCTGAGTAATTCACTTAATTCCACATGGTAAATTAAGAAACTAGATCTGTCAGATTCCAAAACACTTTTCTCTTCCCACCATATCCCAAGAATCCCAAGGCTACTGACGCTGATAATTGTTTCTCAAATGGTGATTTTTTTTTGTAAAACAAAATCTTCATAGAGCACTTATTGGGCAGGGGCCACACTATTTCTTCCATATTGTGACCTCTTTAAATTTTAAGACACTGTTCATTCTTTATGTGATTTTAAAAGTTCACATGTGAATATGATGCTTCTCTTTTTGCATTTTAGTTTGATCCATTAACAATTGAGAGCAAAAAAGCAGCAACTGTGGTGTTAATGCTCAATTCTCCTGAAGAAGAAATTTTGGCTAAAGCGTGTGAGGCCATTTATAAATTTGCTTTAAAAGGTTTGTATTTTTTTCACTTTATTATTAAGTTTCATTCATTTCTTAAAATATTTACCACCTGGTGGGCAATTTTCTTCCTAGTCTTTAACTTACTGCCTGTGAAATGAATTTTTTTGGACAATCAGAACGTTATTTAACACAACATCAGAAAAGTGTATTTCCCTATGTGCCCAACTTAATCCTACAGAGTAAGTTCATCACTGGGTAGAAGAGTCATTGGAAGATTTCACTGTAGTTTTAGAAACTGTAAATATCACAGGAGCTAAAAACAAAAACAAAAACTCTAAATGGCCAATTTGGAACAATTTGGCAGTGCTGGAGTATAACCCCAAGTGTAGAATAAATATCCATGAGTCAGTACTGTACTTACATAAGTAAGTGGTAGAATAAACAAATGAAAGAGACAAATATCCTATGTAGAAGAATTTCATGTAGTTGATGCAAATACTCTACCTGAGGCTTATTAGGTGAAATGCAATTTTCTACTTTTTAAGTGTGGGTTGCACAAAGTGACTTCTTTCCAGGATGCCATATAAGAACAGAAAAGAAACCTGACAACCCCTACTCCAGCTGGCTGATCAAAGGCAACATCAGCCAGACATGGTGGCACATGCCTGTGATCCCAGCACTTGAGAGGCTGAGGCAGGAGAATCAACATGAATTCCAGGCCAGCCTGGCCTACATTGTGAGACCCTGTCTCAAAAAAAAAAAAAAAAAAAGGCAACATCAACGTGATCTCATGCTGATAATATGTGCCCCAGTTATGATTTGATGAGAATGGCCCTTTATTTCTGTTATTTTCCCTGAGAACACATAGCCATATTCTAATCCTGCTTTTTAAAAATATTAGATAAATGTAAACACAGAAAGAGTCTGTATAATACTAAATGGTACTTCCTCAAAACCTTCATGGCAATAAACAACAAGGAAAATCTAAGAAATGGTCATAGCCAAGAGGAGGTAAGGAGACATGAAGACTGATGTGGGGAACCTGGATAGGATTTTATAACAGAAAGTAAATGTTAGGCCAAAATCAATGGAACTCAGAAAACTATGGACTTCAGTTAATAATAATGTGTTAATGTTGGTTCATTAATTTTAAAAATATACCATATTAATGTAAAAATGTGTTAATAATAAGGGAAACTGGGTCCAGGGTACATGGACATTACTATCTTTGCAAATTTTCTATAAAACCATAAAATGTTGTTAAAATACAATTCATTTAAAAATTTTAAACGTTATAAGTCCCATTCTATGGAAACATTTATTAATAGAGAACTTACACACATATAAGAGCTATACTTTAGTTAACTCTGATGATAAAATTTGACTTTGCATGAAATTTGGAGAGTATTTGAAATATTTAAAAATATTTCAAACTAAGATGAAAATATTTTAAGCTAAGATGAGAACAATCTGATTTTAAGAAAATATTTTAAACATTGTTGGAGACTTGGTGAACAACAAATCATTCAGTTAGCAAATGGTATGTACTTACCTTGCTTTGTCACCATAGTTACCTTTAGGAATACAGATAAAAAACTACCATGGCTTTCACAAATACAGTTTATGGGTAGGAAGTCTGAGTCAAATTTCAAGGAGATATTGGATTATGCATTTGTTATGGCTTATATCTAGATGCTCCCCACCAAGCCTCATGCGGTCCTACATGGGACTTTTGGGAGATGACTGAACCATGGGTATGTGATACTGGATTAGTCCACTGATTGGCTGAGCATAGTTCTGGATGTAGGTGATGGACTTACCGAAGAGAGAAGACTCACCCTGTGTGTGGGTGGCACTAAAAACAATGCTTGTGTCCTGGATGGAATAAAAACAAAAGAAGAAAGTCTCACTGCTTCCTGCTTACCATGCTATGGACTGTTTCTCCTCTGTCATGCTGCCTTGCTTGGAGCCAGCTGACTATGGACTGAAATCTCTGCAACCTGTGAGCTAGTAAGCCTTTTCTCCTTTAACTTGTGGGTATCAGATATTTTGTCCCAACAACAAGAAGGTAACCGAGACAGCACCAATGGCAGGACACATTCCACTCAGCTTTAGAGAGTCATCATCTGTCATCTGTCTGCCATATGGATGTGACTATAAATTATCTCATTTTGTATGACATGTAGTAAAAAGAAGATATGTATTGTAGGTACAATCAATTGTTTTACCTAGTATTTTATTCTAGCATTATTTTTTTAGTAAATTTTTAAGATAAATGACGGGATTTTGCCTTCTGACCAAACTGAAGTAACTGACCAGATTTATTTATTTTAATACACAAAACAACCAAGGAAATGGACAAAATGAAATGACAGTTGGCAAGATACCAGACTGATAATGAAAGGCAGTGACCGCTGAGAGACAGGAGACAAAGGAAATAGACCCTATGGTTACCCCCGCTTGTTGACTTCAGTGAGATTCCAGGCCACAGAGGGTGCCCTGGTGGACCTCAGAATTGAGAAGACAGATGTGAGAGTCCAGAGAGCCAAAACCAGCTAATACTTCCTGGAAAGAGTGACACAGGACTGAGTTACACAGAGAGAGAGAGCTCAGGACAACTGTAAAGAGTCCTGCTCAAGTATTCAACAGAGTACTGAATGGCAGGTACTTGTGAGGAAACTACGCAGTCAGAGAAAGAGGCACCCAAAGAGATTAGAGGTAATCAAGCCTGGTGCTCACAAAAGGATGGAAGTAGTGCTTTCCCCATTAGCCAGATCAAAAAACCCTCAAAATTCGTGGAGCACTGTGTAGAACACATGGAAGAGTGTTGCCTCAGCATGCAAAAAAAAAAAATAGCCTTAGATTGAGAGGCATTCTGCTCACACCTAACAAATATTAAAAGCAAGACCTGAAAGGATCAAACTGTTTCCAAGTAATTTAGTTCTGTCCCCAAATTTCAGGGCTATATAAATATTCATTGCTCAACAAAATAGAATTCATGACATCATATGGCCAATAAAAAATTACCAGGCATGAAAAAAAGCAGAGAAGAAACAATCTATAACAAAGGATGTAAGTCATTCAGTAAATAAAAATCGACCCAGATATTAGAATTAGCTGAAAAAGACATGGCAAGATAAATTACATCACTAGCCTATGTGTTCATAGAGTAAATAAAAATATGGAAGATGAAAAACAGACCCAAATATTACTTCTAAAGATGAAAACTTCAAAGGCTGGAAAACACATGGGCTTAGATTATATAGTAAGCTGCAGATTAGACATTGTAGAAGAAAGTACCTGTATTGGCCAGGTGTAATGGTGCATGCTTGTAATCCAGCACTCAGGAGGCTGAGGCAGAAGGATTTCCATCAGTTCAAGGCCAGCCTGGGCTACACAGTGACTTCAAGGCCAGCCTGGATTACATAGCAAGATCCTGTCAAAAAAAAGTACCTGTGCTAGTGAATTTGAAGACAGAGAAACTCCAAAATGAGAACATAGTAAGAAAGATTTTAAAAGATGAACAGAAATTCAGTGAGCTAGAGAAATATCCAGTTGTCCAATGCACATTAATTGGAGTCTCTGAAAGAGAAAGATAAGGTCAGAAAGCATACTAGAAGAGAAGAAAACCAAAACTGCATACACAAAACCCAAACTGCATGGAAAATACTTCAAAAAATCAACAACTAGGATCACATCTTATTAAAAAGCTTTTGCCCATCAAAACAAATCACCAACAGAGTGAAAATCACAGAGTGGGAAAAAATTTTAGCCAACTACCCCTCAGACAAAGGACTTCTATCTAAAATATATAAAGAATTGAAAAAAAATCAGAGTGCCCAAGTTCAAAGACCCATCCAAAAATGGGCATCTGAGATGAATATGCACTTCTCAGGTGAAGAAATACAAATGGCAAATAAGGGCTGGGGATTTAGTTCAGCGGCAAATTGTCTGCCTGGCAAGCACAAGGTCGTGAGTTTGGTTCCCGGTACCAGAGAAAAACCAAAAAAACAAAAACAAAACAAAAAAAAACAACAACAACAAAAAAAACAAATGGCAAATAAATATATGAAAAAAAGTTCAACACCATTGGTCATTTAAGAGATGAAAAACATTAGCACTAAATTGTTGAAAAACATTAGCACTAAAAAGAAGCCAAATACTTTGCCTCAAGATGGTAGAAAAGATGCTTTAACAGACCTCAAGAATCAAGAAGACCCCATATTTTGCAGAAGCAATGATATAAAAGTGAAATATTTTGTTTTGAGAAGGCATCCCCAGAGCACCCTGCTTTAGAAGGCTGCCTAAGGAATTGGTTCCCTGTGATTTGGTTTATAACTCTCAGCCATTCAGGCACTCAGAAGTTTCTGCAGCCATGACCTAAGGGGACCTAGCTACTGCCTGAGCTGGTGGCAGACCTTGGCATCATTAATATGGTGCTAATTTTATAGGCATGCAGAGTGTTAGAGCTGTTTGGTCAAGTAGGCTTCCACCTAGATTTCAGAAGAAGACCTGAGGGGATATGCAGTACGCCAAAAGGGCAGTGTGTGAAGCTGTGAGAGTGAATCTGAAAGTAACAGAAGTTAGAGAAACCTGGAACATGGAATATGTGCTGAGGAAAGCCACAGGGAATGAGTGAAGCCAACCTGAGAGAGGCCATGAAGGTGAAACTGGCAATGCCATAGAGGTGAGGCCACCCAAGCCCTTTGGAGTTCCCATCTTGCCAAAACTTGTCCCAGGTGGTGGATGCAGAGTACAGGATTTAATGTTTGCCCTTCTGAGTTTTGGTCTTGCTTTGGTTCCATTCTTTGCTATCTCTCTTTTCTCAATTTTGGAATAGGATTGTTAATCCTATGCCATTGTATATTGACAGGTTCAACTTTCTTTTTTGGTTCTTACAGGGGCTGTCAGCTAAGAATTTGCCTTGAGTCTCAGATGAGACTTTGTACTTGAACTTTTCAGCAATACTAGACCTATCAAACCTTTGGTGACTCTTAGAGATGGACTAAATGTATTTGCATAAAGAGATAGACATGAGTCTTTGGGGAATCAAAAACAGAATGTTATGGTTTAGATCACAAATGTTACCAAAAGGCCTATGTGTTCAGAGGTGGGGCTTTGGCAGTTGCTTAGATCATGGAGGCACTATATTTTTCAGTGGTTCATACACTAATGAATCCATAGCTGAATGTGCTGTTAGGAGGTAGGCTTCAACAGAA